TGCACACAGTGAACTGCAGATTTGAAGCCTTTATTTCAGCGAAGGTTTTTTAAGACTACCTGTTGCTGTTTGAACATGAAACGTTGTCATGCTGCAACTCTTAGCAGAGTGGTCTTGAAGAATGCAGAAAGTGGGTTTCCTCTGTCCAGAGCCTTCAATGGAAAAATCTCCCGTGACATTACAGCCCTGGACTTGAAGCGAGGGCGCACAACGTCTAGATGTGGTTATTTGGCAAGAGATTCCTGCCTGTTTTGTGGCTACTGCGGGACTTGTTCTAGGGTGGCTTTCGGTGTTTGATGATAGCTGTGATTCTTGGCACTGAGCGCTGGCCGGGTGTTACGGCATGTAGGCACGGTGAAGCAGGTTCTAGAGCTGGCTTTTAGAGATTTTGTACCTGACCTTGTCTTCCCTTCTAAGCTAGTTTGGCCTTTCCAACGTGCTCTTTCTCAAAGGAATCTGCATCTCATTTGAGACAAAGCATTCAGGCTTCCAGCATATCTGTTATCTGGCTACTAATAGCTTGGTTGTCCCATTGACTGCCATTTAGCCTTCTACCAAGGGGCAGCCGAAACTGCGTGGTCCATCCATGGACAGCTGGCTGCAAGGTTGATCAGTGAACGGGACCTAAGTGTGTGTGATTTCCACCCCACGCCCCTCCCACCTTCTCCTCTTTCCCCCTGCTCCCTCTTTTTATGCGTCCATATAAACTGTCTTCTCTTCTGAGACCAAGTGTGTTTTATAGGGACAAACGTTATCCAATTTGATCAGGGTTCTCAGTATTGTGATTTGATTCCAAAATTCGAAGCAAGGCTAATTAGAATAGTTTGTTAACCTGATTTGGAACAAATCGACAGAAGTTCCCTTCTGCGTTCTCGCAAACCCATAACCTGGCTGTAGTTCATTGAAAGGTTCTTGAACCACAGGAAGCCTTACAATTCACTTTTTAACTAATTGCAGAAGGGCTTTCCTGCTTCTAGACTTCCTCTTAAATAATTTTGCATAACTGTGTTTGCTACAGCTAGAGATGCAGAGCGGGCCTACGTTGCAGACTTCTGCTAGCCCAGCTCTCGTTCAGGGACGTGGCGAGGTGTTTTCCGTGCTGGTGAAAGCCCGTGATGTGGCCATTGTAACTGTGTCAGAATGTTTTTGCTGAGACAGTCGCACTGCAGGCTATGGTTTGCGGTAAGCTAGTCTCAAAAAGTGATGGTTTTGCTGATACAAGCTTCATTTATGCTGGAAGTGCTTTGGCACTGTAGTATAAAACAATTAAAACAATTAAATCTTCCGTATGCAGGGTTGATCCCATTGATTGCTGTCTGCTGAAGAGCAAAATGGCATTGCTAATTCTTCACTGATTCCACACAGAAAAGCAAAGAAAGCTGCCTTTTGTGAGGACGTTATTGGCCCTTCCTCCTGGAGAAGCTGTTGCGGACAAGCGTTCAGGGCTATAGCCGCTTTGGCTCCGCGGTGTGTCTGTAAGGAGATCTTCTGCCCACCCGTGCTCGAGAGAGCCAAAGTCGCAGAGGGAAGATGCAGAGCCACAGGGATGGAAGACGCAGGTGCAAAAAGTGGTAGGAGAGCAAAACAAAGGTCCCGACGGTCTCGAGGGTGCTCTCCGCTCGCTCACTTATTTTCCCCACGGGCTGTGGAGCGAGGTTGCTAACTAACGACCCGGGCTGGTTTCCGAGCTGTGTCGGTAGTGACACTCTGCTCGCCGCCAGCAAGGGGAGACAGCCTGTGATCACGCAGATGCCTCTTGTCCTCGTAAGCTTGACCTATGGATGAATTAAAACTGGTGCTACGAAAATGTTGATGCTTCTTTCCACCCCCGCCACGTTCATCTGGCATGATTTAGGTTAAAGTCAGTCACGACACATGCTGCAGTTATGATGACCTTTAAATACAGGCTTGAATGGTGCTTTTTTTTTTTTTTAAATTGCTAACTCATACTAACTTCTTATTCCACATGCTGTAATCAAGTGCTGTCGTAGTAGTAAGTCTAAACTTCTATATTCAAAAAAAAGAAAGCTTTTTTTTGTTTGCAGGCAGTTCCAGAACTAGCTGAATTATTTCTCACTGTCTGTAGCGCTTGATGGCTCCATGCCATGACGCCTGTGTCAGTCAATGTGCAACACAGTAGAATAAAAATAATAACAGAGGAAGGGCTGTAGCTGACAGTTCTAACAGATGTTAATATTTCTGGCTCCTGGGTCTAGACAGTGTATAGCTACAGGTCGGCCAGCGTGGAAACTGCTTCAAGCAACCCTGGAAAACGTTTGGCTCTCGCTCGGTAGGCCTCAACTCCATCAGCTTTCAGCTTCTTTTGAACTTAAAATAAGCCTTTGCTTCCAGTTTGTGCAGGAGTCAAATGGAAACATAGATCAGGTGGCTCCTAGGCTTCTTCCAAATAAGCGCTTGGGTTGCATGTTGTTGCCATGACATTGGTTTTTAAAATGTGAAGTCTAAGATGTTACCTCTCCTCCCTTTGAGCTGCCTCAGGGGGGAGAGGGGGGAACGGGGCTGCACAGCGCGCGGTTCCTCCCGTCTCTTCGTCAGCCCTTAGCCTACTTGTAAAAGGACTTCTTTAATTGCAGGTGGCCACGAGAAGTGAACGTAGGGGTGTCAGATGTTTACGTTTTGTTAAATTCATGAAATTCATGTGAGGTTATGGTGAAACAGAAAGAAAACCAAGCTCGTACTTCCACTGCGAGAGGCGAGAGCTCGTGTGCGGCTGCGCCGCGTGAAGGCGGTTGGTGCTCCTGCTCCCGGTCGCCCTTCAGCAGTATCGCACGTCGTTGCCTTGTCGGTCGGGGCGTGCTCTGGGAGCGCTGTGAGGCTGTGGGGAGAGGATGTGGTGGTGTTTGTGTGGGAGGTGAGGTTTGGAAGCAGAGGGTACAACCCCATAGGGAAGTGGCTTTTTGGCATATCCATCTCAGAGGATAAGCATCCAAAAAAGGTTCATTGGAGAAACTTTTTTGCTCCGCAAGTGTATTGTGGGCAAAAATCCCACCGCAGAGTTTCTAGGGTTCTGAGTTTACGCTTCCCCCCCCCCCCGGACTGGGGTTTGTTCTTGGTCACTCTGCACAATCTGCATCAAGGGCTCCAAAGTTCAGGGAAAACTCAACTTACGTGGAGATTGGCATGTGCAATCAGAATTTGTTTCATGAAACGTCTTTCTACATGTGTTCCCCGCTTTCCGCTGAAGAAAGCGCTGAATGAGCTAATGTTCACACTTGCTCCCATGAGAAAAGTAGTTCTCATGGAAAAAGCAGGTTTGCAGAAAGGCAGCTTTTCGTCACCTGTCTGCTCCCTAGATATACTCAGAGCTGTGAAAATCGGACTTCTTAGTATTTCTGTTAGTATGGTAGAGCAGAGGAGCTTTGCCAGAGCTTGTTTGGCTGTTTCCTGGGTCAGGTACCAGCAGAGCTGTTGACCAGTGCTGCAGTTGCAGCTCTTGCTGCACAAACCAGACGTACCCTTGTCTGTCAGCTTCTCTCCAGACCCTCCTTAGTTACGGTCACAGAGCTAGGAAGTTAAAAGTTGAGCCAAATCAACTTGAACATGGGAACACAAACAAGTAAAAGAATGTACTCGAGAAAGAAAAATGAGAATTACTTTCTAGACCCAAATTACGCTGCGTTGCTACGTCTGGCACTGGTGGATTAAGCAGCCTCTTGAGCAGCATCCCTTGACAAAGGCAGTGTGTGCTCCGGTCCGCCCTGAAGGCGTAGAGCGAGGAATTAACTCTCCCTTGCTGAAGCTTGAACATGTCTATGAAAATGTGTATTTACTTTTAAGAAACATTTGAACTTAAGTGTGTTGTATTCAGTACGTGTTCTGTGCTTTATATAATAATGCATAGGTAGTGGTGTTAATGCTTACTTCATAGGTCAAAAAGTGAAAGAGTCTTATAAAACGATTCTTTCAAGAAATGAGTTTTGCCTTAATAGAGGTCCTGAGTTTTATTAAATGAATGACCAGTCAGTCCTAGGCAATTAAGAGCATTTTGTTTGTTTGTTTATTTTTGGTGGGCCTCTTCTAAATGTCAAGATTTGTGTGGACCTTTTGTTTTACAGTGTTCCATGTGGAAGCCAGGAAGCCTGAAGGAGGCTGTAAAAGCTAGGGGAATGATTCTCTGCGTCTCTGCAACTATGTAAGTATTAGATGTTTGCTTACAAGATCACTGAAAAGGGATGAACTGCTAGAACAGAGATTGCTTCTGATTCGGCAGTTGCATGGCCCTCTCACGCCTCCCTGATGGAAAGCTTTGTGTATCAGTTCCTAGTGAGAAAAAAAATGAGCGCCCACTCTGTTATTATAGAAGTTATGCCCCCTGCCCACAAAAAGGTAAAAAATGCATAGTGAGATTCTCCTATGGACTCTTTATTCGCAAGAAGTTGAGACTGGATGAAAGCTTAGTTAAGCTTTAGCAATGTTGTCTTCGCCTTAGCTGACGAGCTGTTGCTTGGGAAGGGATTTAATGGTTGGCTGAGCTGTGTCCCCTTTTGTAATGAGATTTCTTAAACTTGACTTTGTGGTGTTCTTGTATACATGATGTTTTATTCCCCTCTCTCCTGAGGCTGTCTGTACTTTGAAACTCATTGTAAATAGCTTCTGATGCAACGCTATTAAACGGCATAACGCTTGACTACGTTTTGTTATTCTCTAGAAGTAACCAATGATTTCTATTGCCACAGTAACATTATAGTCATTAAACAAAAATATTTGCCTGGCTTACTTAAATATCCCCTTTGCATCTTCTCTCCTTCAGTCCAGTTGGGCTGATCTCAGCTGTGCTGTGGTGTGCTGTGGCCAACAGAGAATCACTGCTGAGTCACTTCTCTGTTTTGTTTCCTTCACACCTTAGTTTGTGTGATTTGGTCTCTTGAAATCATTGGAGAAAAAGCTTAATCGCCTTACAAAGCTTATAAAAGAAAGCAACCATTAGCAAGGTCTTTCTAATTTTTTTTCTAGCTTTTCAGTCTTATATGTTGGGTAATACGCACCTCCTTTGTTCTTAAAGGGTGGCTTTAATTTAACTGATTATAGTCACCAGAGCTAGACATCCTGTGTTTCCAGTTGCTTACTCCCTTCTAGTAAGAAATAGCATCATTGTCGATCTGTGCTTTGCAGTTCCTGTTATGTGGAAGACAGCCTCATGGGTGATTCATATTTACTGTAGGTTATTGCTCAATAGCTGTCTGAGTAACCAAACTTCTTTGGGAGTCCTGTATCCTGTAGTGCTGAGTGCGTTCCAGTGTTAGCCCTGAATTTTCTACTTTATTAGTAGAATGGCAAAGCCTTATGGCCAGTGCTGCCTTTTTTGTCTCACTTTCGAGTTGTATAAATTGTTACAGTAGGTTTACTCTTGAGAACTGATTCTTTTGGGAATTGATGCTTTGCCAGCAATGCAGGATTGCCTTTGGGTACAGGAGAACGTTATGCTTGAGGTTCCTGATCCAGCTGGGAGAAATATCTTAGCAAGTCCTTGTGCTCACTCGGACATAATCAGCCTGACCTAGACGTGACATTTGCTTTGCTCTACAGCTACATGAGTACCTTTATTTGCTTTCCTGAAAGTGCTTTTTTATCTTCATTGAACACTGCATTTGGTGCAGCTCCTGATGCTGCAACTGGATCCTTTCTCCATCCTTCCTTAAGAAAAAGTCTTGACTTCTCCCACTTGTTTCTGTCGCCTTCCTATGCACTGTTGCTTACATGGCTTTGAAACCTGAGTCATATAGGAAGCGGAGGTGACTAGTAAGTGGATGCAGCATAGTGAAAGCATTTTATAAGAGGATAACTCTTATAAGAGGAGCACCAACAGACTTGTCTCTCACAAAACAAGATAAGTGCGCAAACTGCCAACGGATGCAGTGTGACATTTTTTAGCTGGTTTTGCTATTTTGGGGGTAGAATACTTCAAAGTATCTGGAGCATGGCATCAAGTTTCATGTATCTGAAAAGTGAGAAATTACAGCAACTGCACTTGAGTATCTTCTAGTGTTTGTTCATAATAAGTAGGATTACGCTTTGAATATCTCCTCAGTAGAGAGGAAGAAAGAAGCTCTTATTGCAAGGAGCACCAATGCTAGCAGAGCTCGGACAGTGTCTGTTCAGGAGCAGCGATCGGCCCTTCGTAAGGCAAGTGGGTTGGAGTATAGAAAAGTTGCTTGTTTGGAGGGGTGCACTGGTGGTGACTTGGTTAACTTGCGCTCTATAGATTAACGTCAATGTACTCCCCAGTGGTTTTCGGAAGCAGCCATGAGGACACTTCCTCGTGTATAGTTGTTTAATAACGCTGACTGACCTTCCCTCTGCATAATATAACGCTCTTTTCTCATGACAGCAAACGGCAGTAAAACCCATCTGTTTGTCGTGCTGTTTTAGACTTGAATATTGAGTTGCTTTTATCGTTAATACGAGCAGTTGCTTGGAAGCATGACAGCACGAGTCACTTCTGTTAAGAAATGTCCGTTATCCTGCTTTTGATTTGGCTGCTACCAGCTACTTCAGAGGAAAGTGCCACTTGCTAATGGGCAGCTATTCCTTAACGTGCCCATAGGGAAAAGCCTTTCCTGGAAGAACAAGGATTAATGTGTAAATAGGGCACTTGAATTCTGGTGAATTTAAAGAAAGAAGGGAGGGCTGCTGTATCTGGGAGTTAATCACTAATCAGTAATTTACATTGTCTAATAACATCCGGTTTGTTTTGGTGTAATGGAAAAACAACTGGTGCAGGCTTGAGAAGACAACGTTCCTCAGACGCGTGGCAGCACCAGAGCCAGGGCCAGGCTGTTCCCTGCCAATTCCCAAAGAGCTGGGAAGCGCTAAGGACCCATGAAATTGTCTTGTGGGTTATTTATGTGGAAATGCATCTTTTAGTGAATCCTTTAAAATACTAATGTATTCAAAAATAACTCCTTATTCATTTGATTGAACTTTACTTGCCTATAAAAATGATGTTACGAAGTGCCTCTCTTAAGCAGTTTGAAAGCACCTAGCAGATGTTTGTTCCTTCTGCTGCTTTTAAAAAGTTATACAAATTGTAAGCTTTTTTTTTTCATTTTTTAACTGATGAGTTGTTAAATGTCCTATTCCTTGTTTCTGTAGATTTCTGAGCTGACAGTTTAGGAAAATGCACGTTCCTTTGTGCCTTCTACCCTCCATGCCCTTCCTCTCTCTCCCTCCTTCCCCTTTTCTTGTTCCCTCGCCTCCGGAGAGGGACTTCAGTTTGGACTGGTGCATCACATGCAACCTGTGGGGCTGACTTGGCTGCTATCAGTAAAACAAGTGGTCAGGAGTGAAAGACTATACCAGTTCTAAGAGAAATATCTTCTTAAGCTGCAGGTCCATACTTGAAGGCTTATTTAAAAAAAAAAAAAAAAAAAGAGAGAGCGAGTAGGAAGGGCTACATAGTCAGTTTTAAGATTTTCTTTTAGAGGAATCTCTAGGAATATTTGACACTTACAAGATTTGTTGCTATGTGAGGAAACTTCTTGGTGGAGGTATGGTTTATACGGGTTAAAAAGTGGCAGGGAGGAAGGCAGTTGTGCTGGGAAGAGGTCTCCTGCTGATTAAACTAGCTCCACGTTGTAGTAAACTATGTTGGCAATAGGAATCTTGTTTGCTTGTGGAACTGCATATACACTGTTTTGCCAAAATAGATCTAACAGTTGGGAGGAGCTGGGGAGAAGATACGTGTTTGCAATCGTAATTTCTGGAGAATTCATCTGTTGTCAGTGCTGCTGTTCAAAGTTGACTTACAGCTTACAATAGGAGTTCGGTTTCTGAAGGGATTTACCCAAGAAGGAGTGCACAAACACTGTCATCCCATCTATTTTCTTTCTTTGTATCTAATTTTTAGTCCTTCTTTTCTTATTTGTCGTTCTAATTCTGTGACTTGGAAGCAACGACCAAAAAACGAAAACCAAAAGACGAGGTAAACCCAATTTTTACATTGGAGGCTGCTGCCTAACAGTCAACAGAGATGAGATGGAAAATAAGTGGAGAAAGGAGGAACATGATAAGCAATTGCTTTCTCGGAGTTGATGTTTCTAAGAAATGGCCTATTTGAGGGCATGGCTGCATGCTGATAGGGTACTGTGACAGAGTTTGGTTGGTTTTAATAGGAATAGCTTAAGATCCTTTTTCTGTAAAGTAAAATACCTTTTCCAAACATGAAAGACCTTAACACTGTGATTTCTAAAAACAGAGTATGAAGAAATCATTATGGCATTTTAATTTAGATTTAAAAAACTGAACTGGAAGTACTGCTTCTTCCTTATCTGCGTGTGTGTCTGTCTGAAAGTTTCATTTAAAAGGCCCCCGCCTCGCCTGGCTGCTTACCTGAAGGGCAGGAGCCCACTTGAAACAATGAATAATTCCTTAAATACCATCTTGCCTGAAAAGTGAGTGTTGCCTCCTTTCTGCAAACACGCTCTGCGTATGTTTTAAAAACAAAAATCTAGATTCTAAACGCTAAAAAAGCTTTTGCCGGTTTGCCGAAGGTACAGTCTAATTCTAAGGCATAAGTCTCTGTCCGTTCCCCCCACCCCCTGCGAGTGCTTTATTTCGGTGTTTTGTGTTCTATATATTAAATGTGGCTATACTTTCCAAAACTATTTCCTGTAAAATATTCCTGTGTTGGAGTAGTCTGTCTTGATGAAGTCTGTACGTGAATCAACCTCTTTGTAACCTATGTTACAGTAAGAATTTTAGGAATTTCCTTTATTAGGACCCGTTAGTATATTGCAGCCACTGAGTGAGCTGCATTGATTTCTAGGTAAAACAGCCTGAAATTGCCTGAAATTCATGGCATATGCTAACTTTTTATACACTACTCCTTTTCAGTATGCAAAACTTAAATATCCTGAAGTTGGTCTCTTACTTACTGGTGAATGTTATCCCATGTTTAATGCTTACAGTATTCTTTGTGGAGGTGCAGTGATTTGACTCTGAAACTGTTTTTCAGGTTGGTTGACTGCTGATGGCATGGTGAAATGTGTTGAGCAGCCGCCGCGAGGGTGTCCGACTGCCAGGGGACTGCTCTAGAAGCTGGGCTTGCAACATCATGGGCCAGTGTGTCACGAAGTGCAAGAACCCTTCTTCTACCCTTGGCAGCAAGAACGGGGAAAGAGAAACTGGCAGCAAGTCGCACAGTAAAAGAAGTGCAGTCCACAAAGACGACCATGCTTCGGTTTGTGGGAAGTCTTCAGGGGATATACTTGTCAATGGGACGAAGAAAACGGACGCCGCTGTAGAGTCTAGCCAGCCTCCAACGTTTTCTGGGGATACAAAGAAAGACGCTGTTTCCAGTGCGGAAGAGTCTTCGCTCCAAAGGATTGGGGAGTTGTTTAGGCGGTATAAGGATGAACGTGAAGATGCTATACTGGAAGAAGGAATGGAACGATTTTGCAATGACCTCTGTGTTGATCCGACTGAGTTTAAAGTGCTAGTTTTGGCTTGGAAATTCCAGGCTGCTACCATGTGCAAATTTACAAGGTTAGTTCTTGTAGAACTTGTAATTATTTTCGTGTGTTAGGATATATCCTATCCTCTGTATGTTGGAGGGACAGCCTCGTTAGCTCCACTTGCTTATCTCTTCTAACACTTGCATTTTTAATCAAATTAATTCCTATCATTGCAGAAGGAG